AACTGCTTCTTTTATTATTATGGTTTAGGAAGCTGAAGGATTGGTTCAGAGACTGTGCCAAAGGTGCTTCTGATTTGCTGCAAACTATGGAATGGGAGACACCGCTTGGGCTTCCAGTAGTTCAGCCATATGTCATTGCGAAGGAGAAGCAGGGGCGAGTAATTCATGTGCCTGTGTCTACGAAACAGGTGAATGAATGGTTTACTGATAACCAAAGCTTATCTGGCACAGTAATATTAAAGTTAAGATTCGAAGATTTGTGTCGATATATTATACTGAATACTATTCATTCCTCAAAATTTGTTTTTTGCCGATATTATCTTCCCATAATTTTTAGGTAGGTGCATTCCCTCCAAACTTGATTCATTCATTAGACTCATGCCATATGATGCTGACTTCATTGGATTGCTCACGAAGGTATATTCTGCTTTAGCAAATTCTAGTAATGCTTTTCTTCTTATCTTTCAATAATTTGCCCCTTTTATATGAATGATCTTTTTTTCTGATTTTCAGTATTTTATGTAGGATGCTGCTAAAGAGAAAAAGAAGGCAATTAATTAGATCGTAAGAATTAACAAAATCGTAGTTTCACCACAACTTCTAATACAATCTGTGTGTGGGGTCTGCTTTATACTAGACCATAAATTGAAATGGAAGTCGGTTAATCGTTTAAGTTCACCCATATCTTTTCCATAAAAACACCCTATTAAGCTAATCTCAATGCGACTGAAATATTTTAGAGATTAGAAACTTCGGTTTTGGCGAGATGAATATTGACAAAATATTTACCGCGGATTAAGCATCATGTATCGAACTTTAGACGACATTCCTCGAAGGAAACATGAGTTGCTTTGACCGGGATTGATTACACGGTCTGCGCCTAAGGCGTCTCACGCGCAACATGTGTGGTTGCGGAATAACGCAACGCTACGTTCTCAAACATTGACCGAGCGCTGTTCTCCGTCGAGGTTTTCTGCGACGACGCATCAGATTTGAATAGTAGCCAGACTGCAATAACGCCTGCAACATTGAGGGGCGTTCTTCACCCTTTGGCTAGCGGAGAACACCATTACTTGTGAGTCAGCGTTCATTTTTTGGCCATAACTAGAGGAACCTTACCATTTTGCTTAGGCAAAAAGCGCTGCAGAAAAGGGCAGGAAGTAGTATTTTTTTACAAACAGTTTTTCCTCGTACGTTATTGCCAGTCACAATAGTGCAATACAACCCAGTATGGGGGGCGGTCATTACTTGTGAGTAGTAATAACGCAAGCGTCGCGTGCGGCAATTTACACCGTTAGCGGCGGTCGGACAGCTCGGACGCAGAGTACGATTGGGCAGACTCATGCAA